AATGTTAAATCCCGAGAGTAGAAACACGCAATGGGTCGAGCGATTACCCAGCTTGATCAAAGCTATAAACGATGAAACGACGAGATTAATAGCTAAAGCACCGTCAGAGGCGGTTAAACTAGAACAGGTCCGGCAATCGCCGGCTAACCCCGTTAAAACAAAAGAGCAACAATTACCGCAAGATGCCATGGTTAGATATTTATATTACCCGGGCGAGCAAGAGGGTGGAACCTCGAGAAGAGCCACGGATCCCATTTGGAGCGTAGACATCTTCAACGTGGAAAAAAGAACGAGTCAATTTAAAATGATTAACGGTAAAAAAGTCACGACGGGTCCTACACTTTATTACCTTCAAAACGGCCCAAAAAGGAGTTTTGTGAGACAAGAGCTTCAAGTCGTACCCGAGGACACGCAATTACCGCCTAATTAATATCTAGATTACGGTGGCCATAAGCGAGCGTGTGTATTCCATCCGGTAAAATGTACCTCTTTGTGTCCAACGGACTCAACGATAGTTTATTTTGAGATATGGTGTAAAGGATGTGATTTTCCGATCTAATGTGAGTCATCGTTTCTGTTTTAGATTTATTTTTAAAGATGCAGTCGTAGTAGTGCCGGTGTTTTAATTTTTTGTCAGTGACCGATTTTGTGACCCCCTTGGCTTTTTTAAGAGTGATGTTGTTGTCATCCGCTAAAATCGAGTACATCTTAGGTCTTACGCAAACGGCTTCTTGAATGACCTTACCTCCAAATTCGTCTTTAAATTTACCGATCACTTTCTTATTGGTTGAGTCGTATAACTCGTGATCCAGATTGTAATTTGAAAAGTCGTAGTGTCGCCCGTGAGATTGCATGTCTTTGTATATGTCATCCGTGTAAACGACAATCAACAGACTGTCCGTATCCGTATACATCAACCTGATTTGATCTCTGTACTTGTCTTTCAATCGGTTGTAATAAAAATCGTACATCAGCGTCTTTGAGAGATCTAAGATGCTCACTCCGCAGTAAATGGGTTTGTTTAACACGGTTGTCGTTTTATATGTTTCGACAAACGACAGGTCACATTCTGGAAACGGCGTTGTTGTTTTATAGCTCGGTTTTTGAATTATTTTTTTGTATTTTTCTTGATCGCTCTCGTTATTGTCTCTCAGTAGGTAACCGTCTATTCGATTTCTAACGTTTTCCATCGTCTTACCAAACACGCTGTTATTCATCAGTTTAAAAAAGTCTTTCTCAAAATCAGAGGTTGCTTTGGTTCGGAGTTGCGTGTTTTTATCGATGTAAGATTTCATCCAAGGCGCTTGTTTAAATTTTAACACGCGATGTACCTTTTTTAGTTTCAAACCTAGATTGAGGTATGACTGCAACGTAACGTAGTGCAACACGTATTTTTGTTTTGGATTAAGCGTACACGTTAATTTTTGTACGTCGCTACTAGGTTCGGTATCCAATAAGTCATTTTGATAATCAGACATCCAAGCTTGGGGTACGACGATGTTTTCGGGTGCTAGGGGATAATCGTTATGTTTGGTGTGTAGATCGTACGGGTAATCGAGGTCTACTTCAAAAAAGTAACCGGTGTTGGACGTTTTCTTAAGCGTTAATATTCTTTCTTCGGTAAACGGTTTTGAGGGTGTCCATTTAAAATCGCTGTACGGTAGATATTGACTCATAGCCCAACCGTACAGATTGTTGGCATCCAGATAAGCGATATAACTCGAGGGTTTGTTTGAATCGTAGTCATCGAGATATTGATTATTTGCTTTGTGATGTCTCATTCCACCCACGCTCGATATGCCTCCTCGTTTTGCTTTTTCAAAAAATAAATGTTTGTCTACGTCTTGCAATAGTTCGAGTTTAACTTCCGAGTGTTTTAATAGAGCATCCCACGACAATCCAGGTGCGGTAAAATAATTGGCTGGATCTAACCCATAGTTTGTAATACACGTTCTTCTAAAGTTTTCAAATACGCCTGCAAGTAATAACGTATCAGTCGTCACGTACAAGTCGTGATATTCTCCTAGATTTTGTATATTAAACTCGTTCCACACGCGTTGAGCTCTGTCGTAGTCTTGTTGCGATATATTTTCGTCTTTTAGTCTGCTGTAAAACTTGCCGATGGGTGGTAGGCTGGCCTCTTGAAACTTATCAAACGAGTTCATATATTCGTAGGGATAAATTCCTTTTTGTAATAGCAAGTCAGAATGTTTAAAATGCTTTTTGAGTAGCTGAAACGACTCTTTTGGGCAAGCTTTCACTAATTTATCCAACGACGATGCCATAAAACTTAACGAGTCTAGAAATCGTAGATTTCCTATTGAAAACGAAATATACTTTTCTGAATTTTTAGCGATCACTTGTATTTCTGTTTGGCTATCGTATTCTGTCATTCCCTGCATGATTAAATGCGCGTCGTAATTTTGTAAATTGTGAAAAAAGACTGGTATCGGTGTACAACCGGGTTTAATTTGTAGTTTGAGGTTACAATAAGCGTGTGCAGCACCCCTATATTTACCAGTGACGTGGCAGTGATCTCTCACCTTTCTAAATTTATTGATTCTCTTTTGGCAGTCAAGACATTTAGACTCGATAAATCCCTTACTGTTTTTGCACTGATATTCTTTTATTTGTTTTATCGTCTTGGGTTCCCTGGGTTTCTGGCACTGACAGTTGCTCGAGTAATTGGGATAAATTGCTTTCTCGCAAATCCAACACGTGTTTGTTTTATCGTGATGGTCTTTAGCTCGCTCGTAAAATTTCATGGTTTGGGGTTTTTCAAATATGCAATTAATATCGCTTTGTAATTGTAACAACGTCGTTATAAATCTAGTTGAAGCGTCTTTGCCTCTATAAGTCTCTTGATACACATTTTTACCGTCGCATCGGACGACAACTAGCGAATAACCGCTAGCTTTGTGAACGTTAATCTTTTTTGTGTTTGTCTCTTTGTCTGAGTGAGTAGGTTTAGATGTCAGTGTCTGTGTGGGTGTTGTTGTTTGTAGTATGGATTCAAAGTCAGCATAAATGACAAATGGTGCTTTTTGTTTGTGCCTATAGTTTTTAAATTCTAATATCGGTACGTCTCTTTCGCCTGGTTGCCCGTCTATGTATTTTGGTTTACCCATAGGAAATACAATCTTTGATGGATGTGCATCTATACCCTTACAATCGGCGATATGTCTGTCTAATTTGTTTTGATTGGTAAAATGGCATAGACATCTTCGACAAAAATATTTCTTACATTTATGTTTTGTAACGTCGTACATCAACCTCGTAAAATATTTTATCCAACAATAGTGATGCTTGTCACCTTTAGAAATCAAAAGCAGATCGATCTCTTCTGCCCCGTAGTTTTTAGACACGTATAATGGATATATCTCACCCTCATAACCGTATACGTTTATCGATAAATTATTTTGTCTTTCTATCTTGGGTATCTGATCGACCGGTGTCGGAAAGTCAACGCCTTTAAAACTGAGTCCGTCGTCTTTGGTGTATACAACGGGTTCTTTTTTATGAATTTTATATTTAGGATTGTTTTTTATGTTATTTTTTACTTTATCCGTATACAACCCAAGAGCAGCTCTCAAACACCATCTCAAACACTCGTCGTCTTTGTTTTTGATGTTTATCATCGCCTGCTTAATTTTAAGATGTTCGGGTAGGTTTATGTAAGAACTACCTCTCGCTGGATTATATCTGTTGATGTTGATGTATAACGCCATTATCTTTTTTAAAACCCAGCCCGATCCTTGATTCGTATACCTTTCATCCTTTTTGAATAGCTCTTCGATCTCTTCTCTTAAAACCTGTTTTATTTGACTTTGATTTAAAACGGCTTTCGGCTTGCTATAATGAATAGCTTCGATCGTTTCGATCGTACCATCCGGTTTGGTTTTTTCGTATTTTATTTTGATTGTGAGCTCCATTTTTAAACCTCTCAGCTCTCTCAATTCTGACTTGATTTTATTGACTATTTGTTCCTTGTGCGAATCAAAAAACTTGATTAAATCATGGTTATAAAGTCTAGGGTTTAATTCCCAGTTTCTGTAGTAATTTCTAAACCTTCTCGTTTCTCTAAAAGCTGACTCTGTAAAGTATTCGGGTTGTCTGTATGTTTTAATCGCCGAGATTAAATCTTTTTTCAAAACTCGTCCTTTATAACCCGTCGGTACGTATTCTAGATTTTGTTCGTCTACAATCTGTTTGAGCTCATAAAGTTTCTTTTTCCTCAAGTTTTTAAATTGACTTTCATAATGTTTTATCCCCTCGATGTAAACTTTACGAGTAAGAGAAACATTTTCATTGTGCGGTATATTATACCGCTGCACGTAATCACGCAGCGTGGCTTTGTTCCATTTAGAATATCCTTTGACGGTCGGTCTAAACATATTACTCTCCATTTATTATAAGAAATATAAATTTTTTTTCTCATTTTTTTTGGAAGACAGACTTTAGATTTATAAGCAATCGGACTCACCTCATTTTAGCGACGACAGATTTTTTATTTTTTTTTTTAACTCCAGAGCGACAGGCTCTGACTTGGCACCTTTTTTTTTTTCTCTCTCTCTCCCGGCGTCAGATTTTTTTTTTTTTTTTTTTTTCTCTCTCCCAGCGTCAGGATTTTTTTTTTTTTTTTTTTTTTTTTCTCTCTCTCTCCCAACGTCAGATTTTTTTTTTTTTTTTTTTTTTGAGAGATCGGGGGATTCCCCTATTTTTCCAAAACCGAGAGCGGCGTGCCCAGGCTCGCCGCAGATTTTTTCGATTTTGGTCCCGTACCCCCGCCCCCCTTACTACTCGGTGCATCATGGTGACAACCAGCTTTGTTTTCGCAGTTCGTTTGTATTGTTTTTATCGTTGTGTCACCCCCAGTTTCCCTCAAAGAAATTAAAACCTTACCCTTAATTCAAGGCAATTTAACCAAAACATGCATTTTTGTTCTCTTTTGGGGCACATAAATACACAATCGCCTTCATTATAATGTCATGTAGGCCTACCTCCAACGGAAGTTCTGCTTGTTGTACTGTAATGTAGCAGCTTGTCCTTGAAATGAGGTTTTCATCGAAATCAAAATCCTGGTTGAGTTTGTGTGCAGCATGCATGACATAAATTATGGATAGGCAATTCAAAGAAACTTGAACTTTGCCCGGAGCTTTTTCGGTGAAGAAATCTGGGTCTCAGCTGAAGTGTCTGGTTTGTGTTTTTTTGCAGCATTGAGTCGTTTACTAATACTATCTATAAAAACCGCCACGGGTGAGGTCGGCCGGCCGGACTGCCTTGTTTACATGGGCCGGCCATGCCGGTACTCGGTAGTGTACTGTACATACAGACACAGCAGATCCACGGGCACGGCCCACACATCGTGGGTATATTCGGCGATGCCACTGTGAAATTCAGCCACTCTTTGGCACAGGAAGCAAGGGCGGATCCAGGGGGGCCAAAGGGGGCCATGGCCCCCCCCCCCCCCCCCCCAAAAAAAGAAACCAATTTTTTTTTGTTTATGTGACATCGCAATAAAGGCAGGCAACGAGTACACCACCATCTTTTCCTCCAAAAAACATTGGTTAAAGTGGTCAGAAATTGCCTCAGATCGCACCACAGAGCATCTAGAATCCAACAAATTTTCGGGGCCCTTAAGCGGGCCCCGAACCCCACGCCGTAATTTTTTTGACCCACTTTTTTGGGGGACCAATTTTTTTTTTGGCCCCCCAAAAAATTGTGTTCTGGATCCGCCCTTGACAGGAAGTGAACTTACTATCACCGGACATCAGATCCTTCGCATTTTCCCCCTCAAACGTGACAGATTATGTGTGCAAACACTTTCTTTTTGCATCGGTCGATGTTTACGTTGACGCACTTTTGGCAATGGACGCCGCCATGTTTGTTAAGTGTCATGACCTGCGACCTCATAAATGGTGTCTAATTGGACAGTTCACATCACATGGTACGATGCGTCACACGCGGCGGATATTTTAACGTAGGCGCGGTACGTTTTTGAACGTCCACAATGGGCAAATAGTTCGCTTTTTCGAGTCAAATTATAAAAAAACTGCGGGACGAAATGTGGAGAACTTTTGTAGTATCATTCTTTGGTAGTGTATTTCGGTAGAACCGTTAAAAAATTTTAGACCCGCGATTGCTGGAGCGAAACGAACGAATTTTCCCATCCAGCTGACGGCCTAGAGTGTGAATGTGATTTTTGTCCGTGAAACATGTCCTTTTATCGACCGCAGTTATCTCTGGCTAATAACCTTTGGACGTCACACTGGGAAGTACTTTTTGTCGTCTTCTACACAGAAATAAATTTGACTTGGTTTCAATCAAATTGACCGGAGACCACTTGCACCATGCACTTTTGACCAATCGCGTTCGCCCATTCGCCCATCTTAATCACGCATGCATCTTCTTCATTAATTTGTACACTGCTATAAAGTAGAACCTCGTTTTTGTTTCAAAATGACTAAAATTTGCAGTGGAACCTAGATTTCGGCCAGATTTTCTTGTTTAAATCCTGATTTGATTTTAACAAAATTCTAAGTCGCGTTTACTGCTTTTTAAAAGTTACAATATGACGAGGGGAGGGGTTCTTTGCGGAGTAATACTAAAGGAATTATTTGGCTCAGGATACATTCTTGAAGGTGCCGCCATGTTGTTGGGCTTTCAGTGATTTTCCAGTGTTTGTGCTGCTTGTGGAAACTGAACGTAATCTTTTAGACACATTGACATACTCTTCCAATTTTACTCCTCTTCAATTCTCTTTCTAACTTAACTTACGTGACCTGGTCTACCTTAGGGTGAAGAAACTTTCTCCGTTGATAAACTCAAGAAAGTAGGTAAGCCGTGTTGACTTATTTCATGCTTACGCCAATTAATGTCTCCATGAAGTCACAAAATAACTTTAAACTTAACGCCACTGCTTACAAGTATCGGAGAGGGCGCTACTTTTGGAAACTTCGGCTTCAAAGTCGACAAGCGATGGAGCTGCATCTCTCTGCTGAAAACTGAACTGATAGTAGAACTACATGCAAGTTGATATCTCGCTCTTGACTTTTAGAACAAGTCAACTGGAATTTTCAAGCGGAATATTTGAATGAACTCGGTCAAAGTAGACTTCCACTTTTTATGTTCGGATGATTTGTGTGAAATGAGGCGGAACCTTAAATGTGCACGATTCTGAAGGAGATCGACTTGGCAAGTTCTTCGGCAATGGGTAAGTCATATGAACTGATTTTCGGAGGTAAGTGAAGATTGAACCAAATTCCTCAAATTTCGACCTTGATGACGTGCCAAAATATTACGGAAAAGATCGGTTTTTCTTTAAACGTAAGGCTTATCTGTAAGCCTTAAAAATGGGCTACATTCCTCCATTTTGTTAAATAGGATCCCCTATATGATTGAGTCGTTCTGAACATTATATGCGATAAAATCCATTGATTTCGACTCCGGAAATGTGCATTAAATATAAAGCAACCCCTACATTGTTTGAAATCCTTTCCTTTTGCATTTAGAAAATGCCGCCTTCACCCCGACAATTTTCGTCTGCTCCAAAATAACACAGAATGGGGTTTTCATAATCGGTTGTATGGAAGACACTAAATCCCTAATCTATCTATCTATCAAGTCGACTCGAGACGTTGCCGTGAGGCCGTCTTGAGGCGGGAACGATGCCTGACGCGCCACACCTCCCTTGACTCCATGCAACTGGCCAACTCCTCCTTCGTCTCGACTCCTGCATCCTGCATCAACGTCATTAACATAGTTGTCCTTGGGCGTCCAGGCTCTCGTATGCCATGCGTTGGTTCCCAAGCCACGAGCTTACTAGCAGGCAGCTCAATAATTTTCGGCATTTGTAATTTGCATGTGAATGGCGCGCGCGTGCAGCAGTGACCCGAAGCACGTGCTCTACTTGGGCGTTGTTATATACTCTAATTGTCCAATCAATGGCCTTGTTTTCATAAACTGTGCATCGGTTTGTCAGCTGAATGGTGTTTTTTGCCCAAGTAAGTAAATTCATCTTGGACATGGAAATGCACAATTAACATCAGATGTTTTGAACTGGCATCTGAGAACTGATGTGAATTTTTTTGTTTGTTTGGTTGCTTGCAAACACTACATTGGACGATTAAAAAAATATCTGTGAAGAAACTAAACGCACTATACCAGCACTGCACTACAAGAATAGACCAATCCAGTAAGCCCCGCCCACTGTGCACTGGGCAAATTAACACGTACATGCTCCTCTCCCAATGCCACACTGCATTTTCCTGTCGCGCGCAGCATACGCGCGTGCACGCATGTCGGACTTTTGTGCACGCACGTCGGACATAAATCACGGCTGTGATTGGTCAGAACACCATGGAGCGGTGCTTACTGGATCGGTCCATTTGTTCGCTCGTACCCCCCCCCCCCCCCCCCCCGCCCTGCAAACAGGACGCTGGGATACTCTGATGAATTCACGCTCTGATTGGTTGGATTTTGTGTGACCAGTGACCAGCGCGCCATCAAGGTCATGACTCTGCAAGGTTTGAAACGGCCAATAAGACTGATTCATTACTTTTTTATTTCAGTTAAGAGATGTTTTTTTTCTCGATGAAAAGCGTAATAATGTAGGAAATTCTGTAAAACGTATCTGTGTTGTAAATTTACAATTCCCGTCACTCGTCTCAGGCTCCGTTTCGAATCACGAACGGTCGGCGGGTTGCGTTATGCGACGCTCAAAATTTCGTCCATATGGTCCGCAATGAAACAGAAATCACATCCGGTATGGAATGTGCGCAATTCTATGGGAAGTTTTCGGATAGCATTTGCGCACATTGTCTAACTGCGGTCTTGAACAGCTGCAGCCAGATGCTTTATACATAGGTCATAGGCCACTTCCTTCACAAGATTCTGTGAAGCTCATCAGGGTGCAGACCAGTAAATCGGTCCGAAATTGCCTGCGCCGATCAAATCGCGATTTGCATGCCCTCAAAATCTTCGGTATTTGAGCATGCTGTGGGCCATGAACTTGAGGGTTTGTAAAAAATTTGGGTGGAAGCCGTGCCCAGGACTGGGAGCTTGCAGTTCTGTGTAAATTGGATGTAATTTGGACCCTAAAAGCGCTCTATTTTGCAATGGACTGTAGGCATCGTTTTTCAAAATGGCGATGGGCTTCAGGACTATTTTCAGGGGTGATCGTCTTCAGATTGAAATTTCTCCTAAAAGTCATCAGTTGACCCCCCGTAAATTGAACAGAAAATGAAAGATGATGAAATAAGCTTTAATTTGATGTGTGTCTCGAACACCTTGGAGAGTTGTGAGTATTTTTCCCGAATTTTTGAAGTGGGAGCACTTACCATTGGGGTCTATGGAAGTTTATTTACTGGTCTGCTACCTATAGTTTCAAAACGGCGCCTTCCATCGTTTGTTGTCAAAATGTTTGCGCAGACGCTTTACATTCCACGACAGTGTTTTTTTAAGGGGGCGGAACCTGGGGGGGGGGGCTGCGTTTCAAAAGGGGTCAGCAATGGCGGTTCCGCAACAAATGCGCCCAAAATCTGAATGGGGCCGATGGACCGTCATCCGATCACAACAATTTCGAGCGAACAAGGGGGGGGGGGGGTAATTTAGGGTCGGAAGGAGCAAAAACTCAATTAACTCCCGTTGGGGGCGCCCTACAGTAAGGTAGCCGCAAACAGAGGGCTTGTTTTCAGGCCAGAAATCGCAGTCAGAGATTTTTTTTCTCGCAATTTTTTGATGAAATATGAGTCATCCATCCTTCCTCTTGCCGTACAAGTGGTTTGGGGAATTTTTTCAAAACCTCGCTTCTTTATAGTTTCAAAATGGCGCCTTCCATCGTTTGTTGTCAAAATGTTTGCGCAGACGCTTTACATTCCACGACAGTGTTTTTTTAAGGGGGCGGAACCTGGGGGGGGGGCAGCGTTTCAAAAGGGGTCAGCAATGGCGGTTCCGCAACAAATGCGCCCAAAATCTGAATGGGGCCGATGGACCGTCGTTCGATCACAACAATTTCGAGCGAACAAGGGGGGGGGGGGTAATTTGGGGTCGGAAGGAGCAAAAACTCAATTAACTCCCGTTGGGGGCGCCCTACAGTAAGGTAGCCGCAAACAGAGGGCTTGTTTTCAGGCCAGAAATCGCAGTCAGAGATTTTTTTTTCTCGCAATTTTTTGATGAAATATGAGTCATCCATCCTTCCTCGTGCCGTAGAAGTGGTTTTGGGAATTTTTTCAAAACCTCGCTTCTTTATAGGGTGCAGACCAGTAAATCGGTCCGAAATTGCCTGCGCCGGCCAAATCGCGATTTGCATGCCCTCAAAATCTTCGGTATTTGAGCATGCTGTGGGCCATGAACTTGAGGGTTTGTAAAAAATATGGGTGGAAGCCGTGCACAGGACTGGGAGCTTGCAGTTCTGTGTAAATTGGATGTAATTTGGACCCTAAAAGCGCTCTATTTTGCAATGGGGTGTAGGCATCGTTTTTCAAAATGGCGATGGGCTTCAGGACTATTTTCAGGGGTGATCGTCTTCAGATTGAAATTTCTCCTAAAAGTCATCAGTTGCCCCCCCCCCCCTCGTAAATTGAACAGAAAATGAAAGATGATGAAATAAGCTTTAATTTGATGTGTGTCTCGAACACCTTGGAGAGTTGTGAGTATTTTTCCCGAATTTTTGAAGTGGGAGCATTTACCATTGGGGTCTATGGTAGCAGACCAGTAAATAAACTTCCATAGACCCCAATGGTAAATGCTCCCACTTCAAAAATTCGGGAAAAATACTCACAACTCTCCAAGGTGTTCGAGACACACATCAAATTAAAGCTTATTTCATCATCTTTCATTTTCTTTTCAATTTTCGGGGGGTCAACTGATGACTTTTAGGAGAAATTTCCATCTGAAGATGATCACCCCTGAAAATAGTCCTGAAGCCCATCGCCATTTTGAAAAACGATGCCTACACTCCATTGCAAAGTAGAGCGCTTTTAGGGTCCAAATTACATCAAAATTACACAGAACTGCAAGCTCCAAGTCCTGTGCACGGTTTCAACCCATATTTTTTACAAACCCTCAAGTTCATGGCCCACAGCATGCTCAAATACCGAAGATTTTGAGGGCATGCAAATCGTGATTTGGCCGGCGCAGGCAATTTCGGACCGATTTACTGGTCTGCACCCCTATGGAAGTTTATTTACTGGTCTGCTACCATCAGAGTATCCCAGCGTCCTGTTTGCAGGGCGGGGGCGGGGACGAGCGAAGTCCATTTGCAGCAGTCGGAATCTTAAACGGCGCCCTCTTGCGATGTTATTGATTTATTTCCGTGTACCGTCTCGTATGGCTTAATTGGAACACCTGCGTTTTACAAAACACCTGCCTGTCAAGATTGATTAGTTTATTGGGTGAGCTAGAAATGATCGATTGTAAGACATAGGATTTGTTTATCCCTCACATGCAACTGTTTTTTTTCTGTTCCATGTGAAATGAGATATAATTATTCCATGTTTTTTCACGATTGTAAGACGTTATTTTCTTTTAGCAATCACATGCAACTTTTTTTCCATGTGAAATGATTGCAGTAAAACTTGAAAAACCAGTAGATTTATTCAGCGTATTTTAGACAATTTATTCACCCAAATTGCATTAAACTCAGAAAATGATTACAATATCACACTATGAATTCACATATTCTTTAATATTTATTTTCCGAATGAGGCTTGATATTATGTCCCAATTCACTCTAGAATGGATAATGAATTAAAAAAAAGACGCATTGCAAATTGTAATACTTCCTTAAAAATGTATACAAAGTGTATCCGAAACAGTCGTTTTGCCTCCGCATAAAATACCTTTTTATCAACAGTTTGCAGTGGCAAAAAATACAAAACACAAAATAATCAGCGTTACTAAACACACAATTCGGACTTGACATTATAACGACCACATAAACGCTGACACGGTTGTAACACCGTGTCTTTATGGAGTCATGACTGTACAGGGTGAGTAAAAAAAACCGTGATCCGTGGACAGAACCTTAAAACGGTGGTTGTGTTTAAAATTCCGTAACTTGAAAAGTACATGAGTGATTGGAATGATTCTTGTACTCAAAGAAATCTCATGAACTGGGCTCTCATATCCTAGATTTTGAAAGTGCTACATGCAAAACTTCAATAAAACAATAGTCCCGACATTTGGGTTTTGGTTTTTTTACTCACCCTGTAGAGTTTAAATTACATTACTATCTCAACTTGAATCGCAAAGAATCTGGTATGTTTTTAGAGTGGGGCTCCTAATATGCACGACCTCACCCTCATAATGTGGTATATGATACAACTACAATGCAAGACGATGGCGCGGAAAAAAAAGATCTTTTCACTTAAAAAAAAAATCGAAATCAAGAGGAGCAATGGTTCCCATAAGTTGAAAAAAATATCTTAAATCAACCAAGTTCAGAGAAACCACACCAAACCTTTAAAAAAAAAAAACTGGCTCCAAGACTTATATTTGGTCCATATCGGTTTTGTATGCAACATTGCGACCGGGCACCAGTCTAAGATGACGTGCCGAATTCATGAGACGGGACAGTACAGAACCATACAAATCAAAGTAATTAATTTCCAAGGTACAATGATCGTGCGCTTTGCCCAGCCTGGCGCTAATACGATGACAAGGCCCTCCGTTTTATAGGCTTTGAAGATTTTTGATCGAACTAAGGCATATAGGATCATTTACTTTTCGTGCATGTTGTTCCTTTCCAATCAAAATCCAAAGAAGAATGTTCAATCCTAACCTGTGGAAGTTTCAGCTCAGTTGCTATCACGAGACAAACTAAAAACAAACTTCCCCATCTTTGCTGATCACGAAACACAATGTCGTCTTTTGCACTCTTTATCTTAAAAAAATCAGTCAAATGACTGCTCGTTGGAAATCACCTCTACATTCTTGATTTCTTTTTAATGGCAGCAAGCCAGATGGAATAATTTCACGGGGTGTTTATTACCAGTACGATCTTTAATCCAAAACTTGTTTGATAATACATTGTAATTCGGTAAGAATACCGTTGGGATAAATGTAGATGATCTTATATGCCTTTAACTGGCTATGGCTTGCGATATTATGCGCCATCATATAGAAGCGGCATAATCCTCTCCTGATATAATCGTATATTACTGCCGGTCGTAGCCATGATTAAATTCAGATGTGGTTTTATTTCTCGCTAGCCAACCTTCTCCTCAGCAGGTTAGCACCTTCACTGTATAACGAGCAACCCAATCCAGTGAGTGCACCATATCTTGACATTAGAATTGTTTACATGGAATTTACAACAATAAAAAACATCTGTATTCATCTATCAAGTAAAAAATGTATTTAAAACAAACACACAATTTACTGCTCATCTTAAGAAACGGAGGAATCATTTTTTACACACGTAGGTCACGTTATCGAGCGGATCCCCCGGTACAGGGACGAGTGTGATCGACTGGAATCCTGCTTTCTCCAGGAGTGGTTTGAAGGATTCGCGCCCAAACGCCGTGCCCAAACCAAGCCCGCCCTCTTCGCTCAGCGACTGTGGAAGAGAACTGAAGAGACTACATGTGTAAACAAAAACTGCGGTGGGATTGTCGCGATTGTCGGCGATCTTTGACCTCATGTTGCTCTCCATCATAGCAAACAGTCCTTCGGGTTTCAGGATACGGTAGACCTCTTGAGCGATGACGTCAGGGCGTGGAGAGTCCCGGATGTTCTGTATAGCCAGCACCACGCCGAACTTGCCCGACCAGTCAGCGGGCAGCTTAGTCGGATCGTGCGTCTCCGCCTTCAGGTTGAATTGTTTGTAAGGCGAGCCGGGATTGGCTGTAGGGTCGCCGGGATTGTTTTTGTCGTCGTGAGCTAGCCGGGGGACATTGCTCAGGAAGAAACTACTGTCTGGAAACGCCCTGGCCAGTTTGCGAGCGGCTGACCCGTTGTGGCTGTTGATTTCTAGAACCTCAGTACCTTGACCTGAAAATGTATTTTTAAAAAGGATAGACTCAATGAACTTCTTGGCGAAAATGGAAATTTGAAAGAGACTGAGGAAGATTAAGCTTCCAATGAGATCGTTCTGAGAAGCATTGAACACAGTGCTTAAAGGTATATAGGATGTTTTGCTCTTCAATTTTCTTCAACATCCAAAGATTAATGTTAAAAACCTAACCTGTTGAAAAATCAGCTCAGTGGATATTGACACTATTCGAGAATTTTAACAGTGAAAAACCATGCACAACCTTTTGATCACAAAACGCGATTTCGTCAATACCACTCTTCATTTCCAAAAATCAGTCAATTGACTGATCGTTGGAAATCAGCTACATTTCTTGATTTCTTCTAAATGTCAGCAACCAGATTTTCACGCTGCGCGGGGTTTTTAGTACCAGAACGAAAAGCTTGAACATGTCGATCGGTATATGCTCTGGCTTTATCTTCAAAAGAAGAATTATGACATGAAATCTTTACTGCGCGTCTATAAAAACGATTAACTTCCAAATGGTGGCGGTTTTGTTTGTGATATTTCCAAATTCTACAAATATGTTAACCCTTTCTGTTACCGAGTATGGACTCAAAGCATGGAATGGATGGCACCACGGCTTCGAGGAGTGACGTCTGCACGAAGGTGTCGTAACATTGATTCCTCCATCGGTGGTAACTCGGAGAATAGTCAGCACTCGCAATACCTGACAGAACAATATATCCACATATTTATGGTCACTGATTGAAATCATAATTAGCTGCAGGTGTATACTACAGGTGTATAGACCATGTTTCCATTGTTTACTGATTGGATGTTGTGGTCACGTGGTGCCAACTTTCGGCAAACTGTTCTCTTCTGCACTGCATGTGTATCTCTTGAAATATGATTGGTGAACAAGAAGCGACATATACTGTTTAATGTGGGTCAAATAACATGCAAAAGCTGCTTCAATGTTTGGGTTGCCTGTCCATTGCCCGTTGGTATGACCAGGGGTGTGAGTGACCACTGATAAAAATAGCTGAAAACAGCTGGAAAAAAGGTGTAAAAAAGCTGAACTTAGGAAATCTCCTATACTTTTGTACACAGCAAGTGAGGGAAAAAGCTTTTAAAAAAAGAGCTGAAATCCAACACACACAAAAGCTGAAATCAGCTTTAAAGCTGACATTTCATACCCCTGTATGACGTCACGGGGCACGTACTCTTCGCGTGTCTTGGGTTCGAATCCTCAAAGTGTTAATTTGAAGTGGTTTCCAGTCCCCACCCAATTCCGGGAAATACCCTTATATTTCTCTCAGATACTCCATATACTTCAAACTCTTTATCTTTTTATCTATCATCACGTGCTCTCTTCCATCTCGTTACTAAGCGAGCCACGTTTTGTAATTTAGGCATTTGAATTTGATAAGTGTTAGAGTTTTTAAAGGTATAAAGTTATAAACCTGTTCAATGATTATAATTTGAACATATCAGTTTCAACAATAGAGTTGCTTACCAGTCGGTCCCGTTGTCTTCATGGATTCTATGACTTTCTCGTACACGCTAGAGACCATAGGTAGTCCCTGAGCGACCATGGACCAGTCTACTATGTCCCCGAGCCGCGTCACAGCGGCTCTTCGGTGTGGCGGGAGAAAAAATAGTTCGCTGGTTTCCTCGTCTATTTCAACAACGTAGCCGGATACCATCGCACCTAGCCACTCGCGCACGTATCTGAAATGTATATCATATTGTAATAAACGCCTTACCCTATGTAGTCGTTTAAATTTAATTTAACAATTGTTTTCTTTTATCTGTCAGAGATAAAATAAAATTGTTTTCATTTTTTTCAATTTCAATACATTTATTTCCATACAAAATTGAAGAATAGTACTGATAATTTCTAAGAACTTAAAACAAGACAAACAAACAAATGATCAAGTACAAACGAATACAAACAATAACAATGGACGGACTGACGAACAAATTGTAAATTGTAATTGCGATATACATGTAGCTGAAAAGTTACAGATTTACATTGTGAAATGTAGGTTTTCCCGGCTATTTTAAAACATTTTTCATTCCGATTCACCAACTCTAACATTCAATTTCGTCCGAAAAAATCTCCACATGCTTTTAACATACCACTTTAGTCATTAACCATTCAATTTCAAAGTTTGGTCACCCTTTTTAGTCACCGGGTCGAGAATATTCGTCATTACAGATCAAATTCGTCTTAGCTGTTGCCGAATGGCAGCATTCAGAGATCAAATTCGTCTTATATAAATCAATGAGACGAATATGATTTCTGAATAACACGATTCGGCGTTGACGAGACGAAATCGAATACACCGGGTCGAAAACGTGTGCTCATTGTTTGAATTTGTTTGGACTAAATTTGAAATTGTCTGACAAAAGACGAAATTAAACATTGGAAGTGCACTAAATCGATGTTGCTGGACGAAATTGAAAATAGGAATCGGTGAATTCGAAGGAAAAATGTTTTAAAATAGCCGGGAAAACCTATAGTTGGCATCCATTTATAACTTTGAATATTAGAACTTTTTATTTACTTATATAATTAATACACTAATAAATAGTACAGTGAAAATTGCTTTAAAGTAATTAATGGTAAAAATTTGAATAAATAATCCATATCAGAAGGTTTTGGCCTCAAATTCTTGATATCCTCACCTCTCTTTTAAACCAGCCGCGTCAGCGATTTCCTTGGCGCTCTTGGGTTCGTCAAACCCCGCCATCGTCTCGAACAAGCCGGTCTTGTGCCCCAGCGACAATGACAGACATAGAAAACCCTGGGTGACCGACTCAGCGAGGCGGTTGCCAAACATCTCCTCCGTCTCAGCCATGGTAGGTGAAGACTGGTGCCGGACTAGTCTGGTGCCAAAAATGATCTAGGAAAATCAAACAAAAATATCATATTGTTTGAATATTAATAATAACGTTTATAAAGCGCACGTATCCACCATTATTGGTGCTCAAGGCGCTACATCATTATCACACCTGTTCGCTTGGCCAGTGAAATATTCCAAAGACATTCTCAGCTCCCTAGGGAGTATACAGCTCGATGCTGTCATCTCGGCATAAAGCTGTCAATCAATAAGCTCGTCAAGAGTTTTCGAAACTATTTTATGACGACCCTTTTCAAACCTGTACTTTTCACAGCGTCAAATCTAGTTGTAAGTCTTCTGTGGTACACCTTATTCTCGAGGCATAGGAAGCCATTTTTGATCGTGTTCCCTGAATTATTTTGTGAATTGTAAACTGTTGAATGGGATGGTGCCAGACTATTTTATGATTGGAGTGCGTTCCGAGCCTCACTTTCGGGGTTTTTTAATTAAAATGTGGCTCAAAGCATTAGGGTATGTTTAATCACAAATGTTAAATTATTTATCAGAGCAGACTGGTGTTAATTTGTAATGAGCTTTTATTTCATTGCTTTCATTCTACTCGCAATTCAAAAATGAAGAGTTTACCTCGCTTTAAATTTAATATGGCCGACTCGTGAAATAAGCTTTATACAGCAACATACACGGCGAGAGAACATTCAGTTCAAAATTCTTGTCTGACGTCACAGGAAACGTCACAGACAGATATCTGGTGCTTCAAGCTGAAACGACTTGGACAAGTTTAGGTACGGTTCGATATGAGAAGCTAATCAAACAGAGTAACGCGTCAGGCCAGGGATGCAGGCCACGCGAGAAACCAGATCTGATTTGCGCGTTTTTAACAAACTGGTTACCACGTGGTTGTCTTGGAAACGGGAGACATAATCTTCCTCATCTTCTGGTAGTGTGGACGATTGTCTTACAAGAGCGGTTGATGAACATATATAGACGTGTGTGTGCGTGGAGAGATCAGATAACCGAATTGATGAGCGTCATCCCCCCAACACAAATTCTGCGTCGACTTGACGCAATCTTCTTGCTTGGTGAGGGCTAACGAAAACCTTGAGTAACCTTTATTAAAATCTATTCTTCTTAAATATAAAGCAAATACTGAGATTGACACTAACTGTATTTTTTGAAACGTTATTTCACTGCATCTTTCCCTGTGGAATAGATAGTTAGAACTAACGATTTTTAGGGGAGTATGAGAGGAATAATTAATGAACTTTTGATGGGACTTGTTTAATTAATGATTTCAGAATCAAAGTCCCTCGATAACTCGACGTCCTAGCAAATTAACCATAGATAATGGTACACTTTAAACTGCCCTTTACTTGCAAGAGTTTAAGGTTCGGAAAATAATCTACAGTTACTGTATACAGCAAGCAGCTCTGTTTAATGGCACTTTGAACTACGAACCTGTTTAGAACGTGTACAAGACCACGTTCTTACATGGTTTCAGTAACACTTGTCGACCTCTTATCAAACAACAAATATATGTTTGGCAAAAACACATACAGACGCGCTAAAGACAAACAAGATAAACGACACACCACAAAATCCGTCAAATGAAAGCCAATTTCCCACAGGCAGCGAATTGATGAACAAACAGGTCCCGTTACATTAAGGTCGTTAGAGTTAATGAAATAAACTAATCACAGGAAAAGGCCCGAAGGTTTGTCCATGGAAACAAAAAAATAAAAATTCTCAAGAAAACCAAGATGACATCTACTTGGCAGTTATGGGATAGGAACATGATCCACAGAACAAAAGCAAACATTGATGTCAAAATAGAACACACTTGGCCCCTCAATTCCATAAAAGATATAGCTTGCCAATTTATTCGACACGGACAACAAAGTCTTGCAGTACTTTGTACCTCATATACATCCTTAGTAATCCTGGTCCATAGTACCTTCTCGGCCTCTTAGCTTGAAACATTAGAAACCCTACTACGACAAAGATACAGACATTGCATCATCGGGAAAAAATCTAATAGGCCTATCAGGTTCCTGTATGCATAGCCACCCCAATTATGCGCACACGCTATTTGCTGTTTAAGGGGTGAAAATCACGTCACGTGTCAAGCCAATACAAAACACAGGTAAAACATCGAAATTTTCACCACTTGCCACTGAAAACATATCTTACCTTATTTCCCATCAGCTATACAATTCCAAACGCAACTGTTGAACTAATATAATAATAAACTGTCCTTATACAGACAACATACACATTCTAAAATATTAGAACGGCAAAAGATTCGTCTGCAACCAGACCTACCTGACGCCGACCCTCTCCGCTCGATGCTGAGTTTCCTACAAACTGCAAAACTACAGACACCTGCGCTAGTGCTATAGCAGCCCGATGTATTTTTAGCTGATCATAGATTAGGCTCTCGGTGTGTAATGACCCACGCACTCCAGGGCCGTGTCATATATTGACTGAGCCATCGTGATTTTTGAAACGATAACAGCTCTCAAAATTAATGTTTGTCATGTTCATATACCATAAGCGTGATATTGTAAAAAAAATCTCTTATAATTATTCGCAACATGCAAGAAGGTCGCATTGAGAAGTACTCGAATATGAACATGTCGTCTGTGAATGTTTGTTTTATCGGGCGTATTGAAACTTATGAGAAATGTAGTATTCATCCATGAATTGAAACATTCACTGCTATACAAAATCAACAATTCACATTCTTAATTAATTTGGCGTATTATTCACTGCTATTCAGTGGATGAAAATAACAACTTTACGCAAATTAACGGAGGCTTGTTATTTTCAGCTAATAAGCTTAATGAGTTCTCTGCCAAACAAAATTAACGCTCCTTCCACCAGAAGTAAATTCAGCTCGCATTTTTGACAAACTAAAGCCTAAATTTATAATAAAGGACCCCTGGGCCAGTATCTTATAATTATGATTAATCATAAAGATGTAAGAACCACGATTCAATCAGTATAATCAGTTCATTAATCTATGAATTAAGTTCCGAGTGTAGGTACCATCTGCCTGCAGTCTTTTAGAATCAGATGATAATCAGATATTATGATTATAAGGTGACTCGCTAAGTAACCATATAATATATGCACCTGCCTCATAACGTAAAGTACATGACGCAATTTTAGGCTAGAAGAATATAGGGGCTAAAACATATTTGAAATGAATGAGCACTTGATTCTGAGACAATTATTCTGTGGGGGAAACAACTCGATCGCCTTATTAAAATCTGCGGAGAAAAGGGAACATTTTGGAAAAAAATTTGAGGAATAGGGGAAAATTGGCTGTGGTTGTATAGGCCTAACCAAACTCGGAAAACGGTGAACAAAACAATTTAAAGATGGGCTATTTTTTAGATGGATTTTTCAAGGATGAAGACTTAATCTCTACAAAATACTAAATGGAATAAAATAATACATGAAGACAAACGGTAGTTACGTCGCCAACATGAGCGTCGGAGTCAGCCGTGAGTTTTTCCCCGGAAAAAAAAACACCTGTCTCCACTCGTACTAGGCCTACTTGATGATCGATTTGCTTGAGTAACGCTCAATGAGAGAGAAATATTACATAAATAATAAATCAGACAGAAAGACGCTCGGTCACGATCCAAACGCACATTAGTAGATTATGGCAGGAAATGTCACCGTCATGACTCGTTAAATCTCGTTCAATAACAGTACGAAGGCTCTGAGCACTATTCGCGTACAACGATTAGGTACTCCATAATAGTTTTGGTGGTCCCAGCTAGGCCGGTGTGGAAGGTAATTCTGTCCCCCGGTAAAAGTGTCCGGGGGGACAGAATTACCTAGGTAAAAGTGTCCTCCCTGGCCCGTTAATTCTGTCCCCCTCCAGGTAATTCTGTCCCCTCCAGGTAATTCTGTCCCCCAGGTTTTTTGTCCCCCTCTTTTGACCCGGAAGGTTATTGTTTTGATGAATTCACTCTACAAGGTATACATTTTGGACTTTTATTCTGCCCTTCATGAATATATAAAATATTTAATTTAGTCTTTTAGATGATACGTGAACACAATGTTTCGATTCGGAGTACGGTGAAGTCTATCGTGATTCTACCGCGATAGGTCAACACAGCGGCGATGCATGGCGATGGCCCTCGTCTCATTGATAGTATGATACAACGTCTCCTTGGATTGGTCTGTGTTCCCATCATAGCGCGTAACGAAATTTCCTATTGGACGAATTTCCATTGTAGAGGGAGACGCATATATGTACACATGTTATAATCACTGCCTCAAATCTTGCAGCATGTACTGGCGCGTGCGACACGCTGCTGCTCTCAGTACATACTGCAGGGGACACATTTACCAGGGGGACACTTTCACCGTTGGGCAGGGGGACATTTTTACCTGGAGGGGACAAATTTACCTAGGTAAAAGTGTCCCCCCGGACACATTTACCGGGTCACGAGCCGGTAAATGTGTCCGGGGGGACACATTTACCAGGGGGGACAGAATTACCTGTCAAACCGGCCTAGTGTCCTACACATTATCTGACTGACTGACTGACTCCCCGACTTCCCCCCCCCCCCCCCGACGGACTGACTGACTGCCATTTGTGACTTAGCCTATGGGCAAGTTCGCGCAAGCACTATTTTTGACCAATGGTTAACCATAGTTCGACTAAAGCTAGCCCGAACTCTGTCTAGTCGACGATGGTTGACTGCGCTAGTGTACTCTTGGAACCAGCTTACCGTGGCTGGTCGTGCAACGATTTACAGCTGGTTATCAATAGCAATTTCCATAGCATAGTGCAGAGGGGACCAACTATCGACACAAATGGCGGAAAACGAAACTGTGAGCGCTAAATTTCATTTTCATTGCACAGGTTTTCCATGTCAGTTTACGATTATGTCACTGTTGTCACCATTGTACAATAATATTGGCGATTATGTAAGATGTCCTAAACTATACGCAATCGCAAAATAAAGAAAAACAACAAGTGTTGAATTATTGTGCGACCGCCATTTTTTGACGGTCAATGACAT